CCCCTTGAGGTGCACCTGGAGGCTCCAGCTAGTTCAGAATGCGGCCGCGCGGGGGATTTTGGGGGCCTCTAGATACTCCCATGTAACACCTCTCCTGCGCGAGCTGCACTGGCTGCCGGTGGCCTTCCGGGTGCGCTTCAAGGTGTTAGTAACAACTTTTAAAGCGCTCCATGGCAATGGACCTAGGTATTTGCAAGACTGCCTCCTACCAAATATCTCCCTTCGACCAGTCCGCTCCCACAGAGAGGGCCTCCTTAGGGTGCCGTTGGCCAGTCAATGCTGGCTGGCGACTCCCAGGGGGAGAGCCTTCTCTGTGGCAGCTCCTGCCCTCTGGAATGACCTACCCCCCGACCTACGTACAACTACGGACCTGCGCCTCTTCCGCCGAGCCTTGAAAACCCATCTATTCCATGCGGCCGGCCTGGCATAGTTTTGATTGGGCTTTGCTAGGGGTTTTATATGGGGTATTTTAGAGCAGACTTTTTATTCAATATTTATTGTGATTTTTATTATTGCCTGTTCACCGCCCTGAGTCCCGTAAGGGAGATAGGGCGGTATATAAATTTAAATAATAAATAAATAAATAAATATACATGACGACAGAGGATAGCAAATACAGGTATTCTACCTTCAAAAATGGGGGGGGAGGGAAAGGAATACAGGTAGTCCTTGACTTACAGCCAATCATTTAGTGACCAAAGTTACAACTGCATTTGGGGAAAAAATTACGGCCAGTCCCCACACTTAACAATTGTTGCAGCATCCTTATGGTCATGTGATTAAACTTTGTGTGCTTGCAATCAGCATATACGGTATTTACAACAGTTGCAGCATCCCAGGGTTACACAATTGTCACTTGTGATCTTCCCAGGCAGTTTCTGATAAGCAAATTCAATGAGAAAAGCTGAATTCACTTAACAACCACACGATTCACTTATAAAGTGAATGATTTGCTTAATCATGGTAAAAAGGTTGTAAAACGAGGTGCTACTCACTTAAAAACCACCTTGCTTATCAACGGAAATTCTGGTCCCAATAATGGTCATAAGCTGAGGACTATCTGAATCCAGGCAACAAGTACCTGGCATGAAGGCAGAGTATTTGAAGGTCCATTTCACTCCAATCACATCTTATCAGGTCTGCCAGGAAGCGCATGCCATGGATCCTGTATAAGAAGGTCATCTGATGAGTGTCAGGAGAGCTTTATTCTGCTGAGTCACCTGCCCTCCTGAGGTAAGAATGGCTCTGACCTTTTTGGTCTTCTGGAAGAACCCAGGAATCCAGGGACATGCTAAGCTTGCTAAGTGGTTGTACTTTTAGGAAACTGTGTTCCATTATTAATTATTTTTAATAGTTTTGATCAATTTTATTGTTTTTAATAAGTTTGTTACTTCTTTGGTGGATTTTCTGGACTTTTTAACTTTGTAACACACGAAGAATCACTGTAGTGAGATATACGAATGAATTAATAAATTATCTGAAAAAATGAATCCTGATTTCTTTTGCTTTTCTCAAACTAAAAGATCCAGAACCATGATCAAACTACTGCAAACTCCAAATAACATTGGGGGAAAGCTTCCCACCTGTAGGAGGAGTTCAGTATTGGAAGTAATTCTTAAAAGAAACTGATCCTCATTTCTTTTCTCTGGATGTGCTTAAGCAAAGCTGGACAACCATCTATATCAGGGACATCTTAATTTGGATCACCTGGACTTAGTAGAGATCAGACTAGAGGACTACACAGCCCTTCCAACTCTTATTTTCACTACACATTTGCATTTGGATAAAAACCGCTGGGGAAGTCTGGAAAAAAGGAAAAGTGGAATGATTCAGTCCTCATGGACAGACACTTTGACCAGTTTACAGGCTATTTATTTATTTTTTTTGGCAATGTGCCCTTTGGCAGGAGACAAGATACTGGGACAAAGGTCAATCTCTTTCCCCCCCCCAAAGTGGAGAAATGCTTGCAGGGGAAAGAGGCAGGTTGTGGGTTCCTCTGCCGTAAGGGTGGGTGGGTCATTCCCAGTGTATGCATAAGTAAAACCACATTATCTCCCACCCTGCAGATAATAACAAAAAACTCTTAGGCTGTGTGGCATCCATAATAAGTTCTCCCTCTGCAGGCTATGGTCAAAAAAGTCAGAATGGCAGCCTTCCTGATTTTGGGCCACACTCTGCAGACACTCTTCCCTCTTAGGAAACATTTTCCAGTTCTCTCAGGAAAAACACACTGGGAAAAATCTCTGGCCCCATCTCTCTTGTCCAGCATGGCTCCAAACTGATAGATTACAATACAGGCAGTCCTCAACTTATTACAGTTCATTTAGTGACCATTCAAAGTTATCACTGAAAAAAGTGAGGACTGCTTTTTACACTTGCAATCATTGAGTATCCCCATGGTCACGTGATTAAAATTCGGATGCTCGGCAACTGACTCGTATTTATGTCGGTTGCAGTATTCCGGGGTCATGGCTTCCCCTTTTGCAACCTTCTGACAAGCAAAGTCAATGAGGTTCACTTAACAATCTTGTTACTAACTTAACAACTGCAGCAGTGATCCACTTAACAACTGTGGCAAGAAAAGTCGTAACATGGGGCAAAAGTCTCTTAAAATGTCTCGCTTAACAACGTACATTTTAGGCTCCATTGTAGTCCTAAATCGAGGACTACCTGTAACCCTCATCCTCTCCCAGCAAGGCCACTAGCGACGATGGCGGATGGGAGTTGTGATACAAAGCCTCCAACGGTTAAAACGGTCAGAAACACCTACTTCTGGAGCGCCCACCCCCCCGCGTGTCCTCCCGCGCGGGGCTCTCGCAGCCACCAACTGTGCAGCAGAGGCGACGTGACTAGGAGGAGCCAACGGAAAGGGAGGATAGGAGGAAAGCGGGTTCCCTGGAGGGGGGGAGCCGAGCTGTATGAAGAAAGACACGCGGACACCCCAACGCGGGCCCCGCTAAGGGCGCCACCACAACCTCATCCTCCCCCCCCCCGCGCCCCCGCTAGAATTGGGACGTTCCTTCCTGCCACGCGCCTTCCCCCTCCCCTTGCTTGCTGAGTCTCTCTCTTTCCTTCCCGCCCTGTCAGTTGAGGGAAGAGCGGGTGGTGTGTCCCTCACGTCATATGGCCCGCCTGGCTCCGATTGGCTGGCTGGCCTCACCAGACTGCAATGCCGTTCCAGGGACTGCTCGGCAGCCCCGCCTCCGTCCCCTCCCTCTTCGCCGCGTCAGCCTCAGCAGCGGCGCCCCGCTGAAGGGGCGGAGGCGCGCAGCCCGAAGAGGCTCGCGCCACGGCGCTCGCGCCTTTATAAGCCGGCCGGGCGCGTGTGCGTGCGGAGCCGAGTGAGAGGGACGCCGCTGCCCGAATCCCAGCAGGTAGGAGCAGGGAAGGGGGGGCTGTGTTTGGGGGGGGTGGAGAAGAGTGAAAGGGACGCTTCTTCGCCCCCCCCCCTTTCAACGGTACCGGTTTCGTGGAAGACGGGCAGGTAGCGGTCACCCGAGACTCCACCGATGGAGGCAATCTACTTGCGGGTACCGGGCGGAGGGGGAAAGTCGGTGGTCCCCGCGCCCTACCTGGTGGGTGTTAGAGCCCCTCTTCCTCGAATCTGTTGGGGGGGGGAGCAGCTCTGGCTTTTTTAGCCTTTTGGTGCAAATAGGCTTCCTCCAACTGGGCGCCCACAGGATGCACACACACCCCAGAGGAGGGATGTTATTTTTCTGACAGACCTGGTTGGAGGAAACTTAATTTGTAAGAATATCCAGTTGGGCTGTGCTGGGGGAGAGAGAGATGGACTTTTGGGTTGGGTTCACTTTGTGCTTCTGTGTAAAAAAAAATTGCATTTAAATCTCCCCCCCCCCCCCCAATTCCACCCTGTATTGGAATAAGTAGGTGGGATGGTTAAGTGCTCCATGTGTAACACATGCATGGTTAGCATCTTACTTTATTCTCTGAATGATTGCTTGCAGGCAGCAGTGGCAGGGCTTAATAGCTAGGAGCCTCAGGACCAAGAGAAATGACAGTAGAAGCTTTAAGCTTCCTTCCAATCTTTACAGTTAAATGCTGGAGGGACAAGAGACCAATTCAGAAGATTGGAAGTCTCAGTTGCACCTAAAATAGCAACATAATCAGTCCCTTGAGTCATTTCTTGTAATTTTGTGTCATTTTTCTGCCAACAATATGCAAATGGTTTGCCATTGCCTTCCAGAATGAAGTTTCCCAAGCTGGCCTACGGCCTTAGTTTCTCCTGGTGGTCTCCCATCCAACTATCTATGAACAGTGATCCTGCTTAGCTTTTTTTCCAAAGTTTGAAGTCACATGTTTAGGCTGATGAAGTTTTGAGAAAGCACAACTAGTCTGAGTTGGAGGCAGACCTTGTTTATTTTACGCCTCCCTCTTATCTGACAGGATAATATGGTAGTCGGATATCTGGTGGTTCTATCCCTACAGCAGAAGAGGTTCTTTGCCCAGATACAGTGACCTTCACTAAGATCTCCCAAGAGGCAGCTGTTTTCCTACAATGTTAGCATTCTTGTACCACCAAATAGACAAAACTAGTCTGGCATCTTATTACAGTTTGCCCTACTTTGAAGAGGAAAAGGGGGCAGTTCAATAACCTACATGAAATGAGAACTTTTAGATTATAGGCTCTAGCTGTTTGAAAGCTGAGGTTTTCAAAAAGAAATTGCACAACCATTTGTCCAGAATGGTATAGAGTCTCCTGCTTGAACAGGGGGTTGGACTAGAAGACCTCCAAGATCCCTTCCAACCCTTTTGTCATCGCCATGTCATTGGTCAATGTAATGCTACATTTCATACTTGGTAACACTTGAAGATTGTATACCAGAGTGTCCAGTCTTGGCAACTTTAAGAGTTGTGGACTTCAACTCCCAGAATTCCCCAGCCATTCCTGGCTGAGGAATTCTGGGAGTTGAAATCCACAATACTATGGGCAGCCAAGAAAATGTTGATTGTAGAACAAATTGTCCAGAATTCTCACTGGAGGCAAAAATGGCAAGAGTCAAATTATCATACTTTGGACACATAATGTGAAGATCCAGTGCACTCAAAAGTCTAAATGCTGGGAAAGCTGGAAGGAAAGAGAAGAGGGCAATTAGTAACAAGATGGATGAGTGCAAGTTTGGAAGATCTGGAACTGGTGTTCCTGAAAAAGATCGACTTATGTAGTCACCAACTTGTTGGCAGTTTAAGTTTAAAGCACAATGTTTTATTCTTAGAAAATTCTTGCTGCTTTGACATCATGATATATAAAATTATATACTTTATATTTTATGCTGATATTTGTATTTGGAATTCTAGATAACTCTTCTGTAGAATCTGTGTGGAATTATATTCCTTGAAACAGTGTAAATATTTAATAATGGTTTTATCTTGTCGCTTTTCCAGAAGTTCAAAGCACGTTTCCTTTGGCAACAGCTTTTTGCGATAAGGAAGTCAAGTGACTTCATAAATATGCTTGGCTAAGTATCAATTTTAACGGGCTTCTAGTTCTATAGCCTGGTAATAAGACACAGAATTACTACCTCAGTTTCACTATAAGATACTTCAAATCCCTAATTCTTAAAATAATATGGTTAGGAAGGTCAAGACTTGAGATGGAGAGGACTTTTTTAAATTAAAGGTAAGGAGAAAATTCCTTAAGATCATTTCTAAAATAGCATTCAAGCTGACATTTCAAATCATTTTCTTTGCTCCTATACTAATGCTGTCAGAGAAATAACAATAACAGGAGGGAGTTTAGTCCAACACCCTGCAGGAGACCTATACCAGTCCAGACAAGTGGTTGTCCAATCTCTTAAAAAACTCCAGTGATGGAGCACCCACAAATTTTTGAGGCAAGCCATTCCATTTTCGCTGTCAGGAAATTTCTCCTTAGTTCTAGGTTGCTTCTCTCCTTGATTAGTTTCCATCCATTGCTTCTTGTCCTGCCTTCAGGTGCTTTGGAGAACTGGTTGACCTCCTCATCTTTGTAGAAGCTGCTCAAATATTGGAACACTGCTATCAGTCAACATTAGTCCTCCTTTTCATCAGACTAGACATACCCAATTCTTGCAACTGTTCTTCATAAGTTTTAATCTCCAGTTCCTTAATCATCTTTGTTGCTCTTCTCTGCACTCTTTCTAGGGTCTCAACATCTTTTTTATATTGTGGTGACCAAAACTGGATGCAGTATTCCAAGTGTGGCCTTACCAATTCAGTGGTACTGAATTCCACATTATAAACTGAAATTTGATCAGGCCTTGGTTAATTAGAGAAGTATGAGGAGAAATTTTTATAGAGATAAAATCATATAGCACATAACATACTGAGGGCTTTTGAGGCATTCTGGATTCTATACGACCTTCACGTCTCTTTCAGGAACCTGATGGAGAAACCTGTACCTCAACCTGAGAATCATACCTGGAGTTGCTCTTGTACAGCCAGGGGAAGATACAAGGATCACCTAGGTGGAACTTCAACAGGGCTAGCAGCCAAAGTGGGTGAAATGCTAACCTCATCTGTTTCCAGTTCTCCTCTGACCTTGGTGGGCCATGCAGCCCGGCACCCGAGCAGCCCAAACAGAGGCAGTGGCCCTGGTAGCAGCTTGAACTTAAGCAGAGACTTACTGCAACGCAGCCTGGTGCTTTTTGCTGTGGGCACTTTCCTTGCACTGGTGCTAAACTTACTGCAGATCCAGAGGAACGTCACACTGTTCCCTGAGGAAGTCATCTCTACAATCTTCTCTTCTGCCTGGTGGGTGCCCCCTTGCTGTGGGACAGCCGCAGGTAAGTGGGAAACTTTTTAAAGGTGGTGGTGGAATTTCCAATTGTTGTGTCTCCAGGCTGGGTTGAAGGATGTTAGTTCATTGCCCAGAACAGTGTGTGCTATTTTCTTGCTTAATTACTTGCAAAGTGGTTTTTATTTTCCTTATTATATAACCAAACAGGTGCCCAGTGGCATTTAAGAGCTTATATATATTGATGCTATTTGATAGGACCGTATTTGACCTCACAAGGAAAACACTGAGATTAGGTGTAAGAAAATAACACCTTTAGCAGCACAGTGTTTCCTTCTTCCTTCCAAAAGCTTTGGGAGTTTGCCATTATTTTTCACCCTGCAAGCAAGAAGAGTTTCCTCTAGCTATTATTGCTTGGCAAGTTTTTAATCCAGGAGCTGGCGTGATTCATCATTACTCTTGGCCACATAATTGGCTCGCTGTGGAAACTGGTGAGTCGCGTGCTCCAGTTCCTATTGGTTCTCAGTCTGAACATGCCACATACTCAATCAAAAACAAGGAAGTCACATGTTGTGACAGAAGAGAGGAACTGAGACTGGCTTAGTGCCTATTTTAAGAGCAGTTTCAGTTCCTAGCAAGATGTTCATAGAAAATGACCCTTTTATATTGCAAAGTACAAGTAAAAGCTCAAGTTGAACTACTATAATTCCTTTTCAGTTTGGTAAGCTAGTTCCTTTTGAGAATTATTATTCCAAAAGGTATTTTCAGGCATCGGGTTCCAAATCACTGTATTTAACAGGGCTGTTGTTGACAGAAGATTGCGCATAGCTTTGGCTGCAAAGCCATTTATGGTATCAGACTTAAAATCTTTTCTTTGCAGGTCAAAACAGGAAAAAGAAACTAGCTTTTATTTCACAAAAATAGGTGGATATATATATTTTTAACCACTACAGCATAAGCTGTAAAATAAATCAGGCAAAAGAAAGCATAGACATAATTGTTTCACTGAACTTACATAGTTGTCATGGAGAGAACCAGGGCATTGTCACTTAATCATTGTGCTGATCTGAAAAATACATCACATGATTTTTCCATAGGGGAAAAGGGTATTTCTATATTTTATAGTGGCTTAAATCACAGAGTTTGAGCCTTAGAGAGACTTTCTTATAAGTTACTGTTGAATACAGTAAGTATTATTTGCAAAAATAATTGTTGATTGCTTCAGAAACAATCTATTTCAGCATTAGATACCTGTTAAATTGATGAATCCATCATTGATGAAATAATATATAAATGCTATAATTAAAAGTTAAATGTTGCATTCTATTTGCCTAAATCCTTCAGCAAAAAAGCATTTTCTTCAAGTGGAAGAAAATGTATTTAGTTTATATATCTGGATTAAAGAATAAGAAGAAATACTGGATTTTTACTTAAAGGCTCCATATCAATAATTACAATATTTATAAAGTTTTAAACTTTCTGTTCATTTCACTAGTGGCTAAAAGTCTTCAGCAGTCGTTTATTTTTAATGCAAGCATTGTGTGTAGAAAGATTCCTGAAGGCTGCTAAGGTTTCTAGAAATACAAAAAATGCTACTTTTTGTAGACTTTTTCACCTATAATTTACCTAATTATTAGACATAAGAAATCATTATCTTCTAGGAATCTGAAGTGAATATTCTAAGTAATCTGCCCAGCACTATAAATGTTATTTTTTAAAACCACTGTTGTATTTTGTTGAAACCTTATGATGAGACAGTTTGATGAAGTTTTTTAAATATGCATGTAGTCCTCAACTTACAACCACATTTGGGACTTGAACTTCTGTCACTAAGTGAGGCAGTTGTTACATAAGTTGTGCCTGCTTTTTTTTTGCTGTGGTGGTTAAGCGAGTCACATTAAACTAATCTGACTTCCCTCTTCATTTCTGATTGTCAAAACCCCTCACCCCACCCCAGGAAAGTCATAAATGGTGACCATGAGACCCTGGGATGCTGCAACTATCATAAAGACATGTTGGTTTCCAAATGCCCAATTTTGATCACGTAACCCTAGGGCTTCTCCAGTGTCATAAGTGCAAGGACTCATAAACTTGAAACAATTGTTAAGCAAATGGTCATATGTTGAGGTCTACCTATAATCTTCAGTAAGTCAGAAAATGGAAACTAGGCTTTGCTGTTTGCTGTGGAGAGGAAATTTAATGATAACAGAACAATCATCTCTCATATTACTTTTTTTTTTACAGCTGTTATTGGCCTGCTGTACCCCTGCATTGACAGCCGTCTTGGTGAACCTCACAAATTCAAACGAGAATGGGCAAGCGTAATGCGATGCATTGCCGTCTTCGTTGGCATTAACCATGCAAGTGCTGTATCCTTGGAAAAAACAAAAATTTTAACATTGGCTAGCATTTTTCCCCCATCATTAGAGGACCAGCTTCAATTGATTTGAGTAATTATGTTTCACAAATCAGTGTCTATGCTACTTATACTTTAAAGCAGAGTTTCTCATCCTTGGAAACTTTTAAAATGTCTGGATTTCCATCTCCCAGAATTCCCCAGCCAGAATTTGGAAGGTGAAACCCATATATCTTAAAGTTCCTAAAGTTGGAAAACTTTGCTCTAAGGTCTTTGCTTAAAACGTATTATTTCTCTTCAGTTTTGTCCTGAAGAATCTAAACCAGGGGTAGGCAACCTTGGCTCTTTTATGACTCGTGGACTTCAACTCCCAGAATTCCTGAGCCAGCCATGCTGAGGGGAAAGGGAGAGGTTTCCATGCTGAGCCATGCTGGCTCAGGAATTCTGGGAGTTGAAGTCCACGAGTCATAAAAGAGCCAAGGTTGCCTACCCCTGATCTAAACTAAAGCTACTTGAGTTTGCGGGGGGAAAACCCCATCTTATTTACCGTATTTATATTCCACCTTTGTTATTTTTATAAATAATTCAAGGCAGCACATATAGATTCTTTCTTTCTCCTATTTTCTCCTAACAGCCATCTTGTGAGGTGAGTTGGGCTGAGAGAGAGAGAGGGCCTGGTCCAAAGTCACAGCTGGCTTTCATGTCTAAGGCAGGAGTAGAACTCACTGTCTCCTGGTGATTGACCTAAAGTCACTCATCCAGCTTTCATGGCCTAGGTGGGACTAGAACTCACAATCTCCTGGTTTCTAGCCTGGTGCCTTAACCATATGGCATGAGGGTTTGCTTGATTCCATTCTATTTTTTGCAGAGATACTGACTGTGATCTGAAGGATTTTTATATTCCCTTCCTGGCTTCCAAAGACTTAGCCACATTATATCTAATATTTACACTATTCATACCAACAAACTTAAATAGCAAAGTGAGATGCTCCCATCGTTATCTCTTCATAGGGTATTGTTTAGGTATTATCAAGAAAAATTTATTGGAAATGTACCAAATTGTGAGCATAAGTTTTTTTTTCTTTTACACTTATAAAAAAACAGTAGGCCTATCATTCTTTTAAAATGTCACTTTATAGAATTGGAGATTTATTTAACAATCCATTGTCCTCCAGCGGCCTTCATATAAGACATTGTTTTAAGATAAATGTGATAGTTCAGTCTTCCTAATTGTAAAAATAATAATTTCTTTTTCTTCGCTGTGTTATAACTTCTCCCTCAGGATATGGCTTTAAATTTTACTTCATAAAATTTAATGTCTCTTTTAAGAGAGTTTAGAAAACACATAGAAAAGATTGCCCCCTGCAGGTTGAGATACTCAGCTGGAACCAGGAATCGCGTACGTTTGCGGGAAAATGATCTCCCAAGTATACTATTCCTACTTCTTGTACTTTCTATAAATTGATGTCTGCATGTGCATGTTATGGATAAGACATAATGATAATGGTAGGAAAGGTAAAGAACCTATCAAAAGTGAAAAGGATAAAAAGGTGGAATACTTGGCTAGATATTAAGAATTTTTCATGGAGCAAGAAATTTGCCAGACCATTAAATTTCCTTAACTGACTTCTTAGAAATTGGATTTTGCAAACAATATCCAGCTTTCCCTGACCCTTGCAGCTTTGTCGCTGGGCCTCTGGTGGACATTTGATCGTTCGAGAAGTGGTCTTGGTCTTGGGATTACAATTGCTTTTGTAGCTACTCTGATTACACAGTTTCTGGTCTATAATGGAGTTTATCAGTAAGTACCTCTTGCATTCTCTTATTTCTAATTGTTCAGCCTTTTTTTTTAAAAGACACGAATTATGCCTGCACTCATTTCAATTTACTATAGTTCTTTATTGATTGTTAGATTTATCATATGCATTTGTTTTGTAGAATTCAAGGCAACTTGTATAATATTGCTACCTCCTATTTTCTCTGTAAGAGAATCCCTGTGAGGTAGGTGGCCCTAAGAGAGATTTACTAGCCCTAGGTTCACCTAGGGTAAACTAAAACATGGTGTCTCTAAGTTTCTAGTCCAGCACCTTAATTACTACACCAAACTAGCTCTTCAAATATTGATGGCTATTGTATTAAAGAGGGAAATGTTGGCCCTAACTTAATAACACAGCTTTATTTCTATGTGCAAGATCAGAATTTAGCTGTGTAATATGGGCAAATAGTTTTAGATTTGGTAGTATGTACAGCGAATACTGGAACTGGGCACAAAGAGGGTATTTTTTTTCCTTTTGTGTCTTTGCCTAAAACCAGGCAATTTGAGCATTTGCCAAAAGTTAGCCCTGTGAAGTTGCAGATAAGCAAGTGAATGAGAAAGTATTGAGGAACTGTTATGCTCCTCTTCTCTACTGTGTACATAAGCCAAAGATTATGTCAGAAGAGACCTGAATTACTTCTAACCAGTTAGTAACTTCCATGGACTTATTTACAAAGCTGCATCATGATTTTTCTTAGTTCTAGGTTTAGGATTTCCTAGGACACAGGAATACATTCAAAATATTCTCTATAAATGTGTTTGTATTTATTTATTAAATTTATATGCCACATGTCTCATTATCCAGAATGTGTCTGGGCAACTTACAGTGGCATAAAAGTGTAATTATAAAAGCATTAGCATTAATTTTAAATATAGTTGTATGTGTATATTTGGTACTTCTAATAAGATATGAAAATCTGAGTTCCTTATGCTGTCCCTATTTCCAGCAGAACGAAATGTCCAGATCAGTTTTGATGAGATGCTAAAACTACAAACAATCCTCCAATTTTTTTCCCCTCTCCTTTCCTTTAGGTATACATCTCCAGATTTCCTTTATATCCGTTCTTGGCTACCATGTATATTTTTCTCCGGAGGTGTGACTGTAGGAAACATAGGACGGCAACTTGCTATGGTAATTATATATTTATGCTGGATTTTTAAAGTGAAAAGTGCTGCTTCGGCTGATAAAACCATACTTATTACCTATGGATGTAATAAGTAATGATGCCTGTTAATAATGACAGGTATTCTAAAGCCGTGTAAATGTATAGCATCCTAGACAGACTGCAGACATGTTTATTGCTAAGCCCTTCTGTATGTTTTTTCATTAAAAAGATAGAAAATACTGTAGCTAAGTGTGACTTTTATACTGAAATAGCTGTGGCATTCAATCTCAGGAAATGCCTCAGAAAACTTGCTTCTTCAGTGTAAGGATTGATTGATTTTACTAAGAATGTATGGCCTCAGCCTTCTTAAATGCCTTGGTTCTTCTATCTATCTACAACTAGAATAACAAATTTGCATAGTAATGGAGGATCCTTGTCTGGGGTTCAAGATAGTTCTGCCAGCAGCCTTGTCAATGAAGAGATTTTAGATAAATAAAATGTATTGAAAAGCAGGTTGGAAAAAAAAGGTTTTTTTCTAACTTCTCACTTCTCAAGTAGGCGAGTTTATCAACAGCTTCCAGATATTAGGCTTACTACATTTGTTGGTGACAGGAAGTCTCTTATGGACTTTTTGCATAAAAATGAAAAAAAATAAACTTGTGATGTATGGGTTTGATAATTAGATATGATAGATTAGAAGAGTAACATATAGCTTTAGACAGATAGGTCAGAACATCTGTATTTATAAATACAAATGTGAAAAACACCAAAAGCCCCCTTTTTTTCCTTTCCTATTTTCTTCAACTTTTTTTCCTTGCAGTTTTCGTTTTTTCCTTGATTCTTTTTCTTCTTCCTTAGTTTACATTAGTTTGTGTCAGTTTCTAATCATCTTGTTTAAAGGAACAAAGTCTGCTTTTCCCACTGCAGAGAGGAGTATCATTTACTTTATTTATTAAGTTGATTTGCATGAATGCCCGATTCACACACAGTGACTCTGGGCAACGTGTACAGCATTAAAAAATCAACAATATAAAAACCCAGAATCTCCCACACCTCCCCCGTGGCAATGACAAGTACAATCATACAACCCACTTGATTGTTTCTGAATCAGCCTGGGGTTCCCAGATTGACAGAATCACATCTTCAGGATCTTCCAAAAAAGTGGCAAGAGAGAGCCCACCTGATTTCTGGGGTAATGATTTTCCAAAGGGAAGGAGCCATCACAGAGAAGGCCCTTCTTCTAGATCCCTTCGGATATACTCCTTAAAATATGCAACCCACAACATACCCTACCTTTCCTCTCTGATTGGCCAGGTAGATGTAACTGGAGAGAAGTGGTCCTTCAAATATGCTGGCCCCATGCCTTGTAGAGCTTTGTGGCATTTTCATATCCTGCAGAATATGCTGTCCAAAGCAGAAAGGACCTATAATCATGCTTATTCTGGGCTCCAAGCCTTATTTGACTGGAAAATGTGCAACGTGCCCAATTTTGACCTTTGATCCAGTTTCCAGAAACAAGCAGGGTAGTAATTATCATTGGGTGGTGGCTGGAAGCAAAAGGACGCTTCACTGGATTATAACGCTAATTTGCAGGCTTGCTCATCTCCCTTCATGTTCTTGGTTTTTAAATGGTATTTAATATTTCAACGATTACAAAATTCTTATCTTTGTTTCGTGAAAGGAGTTACCTGAAAGGTATTCCTGGCTGCTATATCAGATTGTTCTCTAGCATTTCAGTGATAGCATTTTGGAATCTAAAGCTTATACAGCTTCCCTAATGTCAAAGAAGACAGATTTCAATGGAGTACAGTAACTTTTGACTTTGTCCACAGGGTGGTCCCGAGAAACCTCACAGTGACTAAATACCCGGATCTGACCTGTCTTGGTGAAAGCAGAATAAGGATCAGTTCAAGCTAGGATTTTTCGTCTTGAATTACCAGCATGAGCTCTCTGTATCTTGGGAAGGAATGAACTCACTATAAAGTGGCCAAGATTTATTTGATTTATTTCTGAGAACTTTCTGGGTTTGACTCTGTGGTGGAAAACGTTCAGCACAGATTTTTCATGCACAATAAGCCGAATCATAATGGCTGTCCTTCCGAATCCTTGAAACAGCTGCCATTTTCAAAGCCTTGAAGCAAATCTTAATTCTACCCATACCCAAAGACAATTGCTTGGTATGGCCTGGTGGAGCAGTGGAATAGTAATTCTCCCAAGGATCGTTCATCCTGCTGTTGCCTTTAAGGGGACTGAATGAAAGAACCATTGTTGTATAAAGAAATAAGGGCCAGGTCTTAGAGAAGAGGCTTTTGCAGACCTTCTTATTGTAAAAGGGCTAGCACAGGAATATTACATTGATTTATGTCTTAAGCACCTGGCTTCTTGAAGTGCGGAGCAAACCATCTTGAAAATCAACAGTTTGTTAGCTGCTCACTTGTTTTATGGCTCCCTATATCATTTCTCTTGGAAACACGCAGTCAAAATTTACATTTTTCCAAGGGATAGCCTACTGGGTCTGGCTTTAGATGGGTCCTTAATGATTTCACCAATGAGTGTGTCTTCATTATACTATACCATGAAGAAGAGGACGTTTTTGTGGGGTACTTGTTAAATTCTCTGGGAATCTGGTAGGTTTCAGAGCAGAAACGGGACTTGCTATGAAAAGAACGGGGAAAGTTAATAGTGTTAGTTAAAAGTCTTTGTAAATGATTTCTTGTCTGAATTTCTGAAGAGATCATTTTGTGTTCATGATTTTGCAAATTTGCAGAACTTGCAATCTGTGATTGCTTTATAAGAAAAAGTGCTAATGTCACTGCATTAAATATCTGTGTACTCAACTAGTTCCAGGGTGAGCACAATAGTTTGTTCAATACTATGTCACCACTGACCTAATGAGCGGGTGTTAAGTTTCAAAATTTAAAGTGCAATGTACAGCTGAAAGGAATCTGAGCCTTGTAGAATCCTCTTTAATGTCTCCAGCAAACAATGAATATTAAAGAGAAAAAGTTTTGAACTTATTTAATGCTTCATGAAAGCAAGCATCAGCAATAATCTAACTAGTGTTGCTAGTTTTGCATCCTTTACTAAAACTCTTGAGAAATACTCAATTCCTGTGGCTCTGATAACAAAAGTGAGCTCATGCTGCATTATCATACAATTTTAGGCACTTTTGTTTCCAGCCTTGTTCAGCTTCCAGTCCAGTCAAAAGGTTTATGTTTTCTAGATCAAGGAAAGGAAGTTGGGGAGCTCCAGATAATTATTGAACCACTTCCCATTGTCTTTAATCATGCTCCCTGTTGCATGATGAGAACTTGAGAGCCCAAAACATCTGCAGAGTCATTAGTTTCCCTATGGGTTTTAGATAAGCTGAGGAATCTTCTCCAAAACAGCATTTTTTCAAACTGGATCCTTTTCTAACTTTACTTTCTGACCTCCACTGAATAACTGTTTGGGAGATGGGAACACAAAACCCTCCAGGGATGCAGCTGTGGGATAGGAGATTTGCCTACAATAATATCGGGAGAAGACTTAAGACTCCCTTCTTAAACCAACCAGTTCATGGTGAATGAGACAACAAAAGTGATTTTGCAGACTCCGAGGCTCTTTTGCCTTCCTGGGGACATTACATCTGAGATGTCAGTATAGATTTTCTGTTTGAAGTAGAAACTAAATTCAGGTACTGGAAAAATCCTGCCGAAAAGGGAAGGCTAGTAGGGTTGCCAGGTCTGCTTCCAAAAAATAGCGGACAAGCGGGGGGTGGTGGTGGTTAAGTAGTAAAAAAAGTAGACTGTATAGCTTTAGATTACGTACCATTTCATCATAAAGCTTTTGAATAAAAAAAATGTCCACTATTTTGTGAAAAAAAATAGTGGATATTTTTTGTGGAAAAAAATAGTGAACATAATGTGAAAAAAGTGAACTGTCCACTCAAATAGTGGACACCTGGCAACCCTAAAGGCTAGTTTTCTAAATTCTAGAATTGTCTTATTTAGGAACCAGGGGAAAGTTTTGAGATTATCTCTGTTCTCAAAATACATCCGTACAGCATGTTAATGCAAGGGAGAAGGATACGAATAATTTCAGAAGAGTTTCTCCTCTAGTTCAGGAGCCTCCATGCTCCTGGCAACTTGTGGACTTCAACTCGCAGAATTCCTCAGCCAGCCATGCTCCGCAAAGTTGCCAAGTTTGGAGACCTCTGCTCTTTAAAAAGGGAGTGAGTAGATAGAGAGTTCAGGGGCTAGATAGGTGGGTGAGGATGATAAAGTTTTGTTTCCCATTCTTTGGTTTGGTCTAGGTCAGGGTTAGGCCACCTTGGCTCTTTTATGACTCGTGGACTTCAACTCCCAGAATTCCTGAGCCAGCCATGCTGAGGGGAAAGGAAGAGGTTTCCAAGCTGGGCCATGCTGGCTCAGGAATTCTGGGAGTTGAAGTCCACGAGTCATAAAAGCTTGTGGATTACTTCCAAAGTGAATTTTTGAATTCGCTCACCTCAGCATCAAATTTATTTGGAAAGCATTTAATTCTTAATCATCTTTTTGTTTGTTTTTCCTTAAACAAAGCGGCAGTTTTTTAAAAAGCCTTCAAGAATACATGATTTATTCTGAAGAGGTTACATTAAAATCTGTGGTATTATTGAATAGTAATAAGCCTGGCTTCTCATTTTCCACTCTTTCTTTAAAGTGTGTTAATTCACTTCTTATATAATCCAGTTTAAATGGTATTACCTGAGTATGCCTCTGTAACATTTACATGCAAGATGAAAGCCACTATATCCTCTAAATTTAGTTTTGAGGTTCCACAAGGGGAAATAACTACCTTTCTATAATATCTTACTACCAGATGTAATTAAGAAAATGGACAATTGTAACTGTAAATATGTAATCATGAAACCAGATATTTAATTTGTAAAGTTTATTTGTCAATCTGTGTTTTGAAATGACAGCCAAAATACGTTAGAAGTTCAATCTTGCCAATACTTGTAAGTATCTGAACCAAAGTGATCAGAGTTTGCGTTACAAAGAAAAGTGTGTTGGGGGAGGGGGAGGTAATTGCACTGTATTCCAGATAAGAATCCTTTGATTCTGAAATTTGGTAGATTTTTCAACTGTGTGTATGTGCGTGGTTTGTTTTTTTTTTAAATTCATTAAAGGTTTTGACCATTTAGGTCCTGCATATTTTGTCAAAAATTATCCTTCCTAGGAGCTATCTGAAAAATACAATTGCTAGAAACTTTGTTTGCAAATGATACTATTTTCTTTAACATTGCTCCTGGAGTTAGTATTTATAAGAGAATTATTAGTCTTGTTTGACATTACAGTATTCTGTGAAACTGTCCAGTGATATTTATTTATAGTCCAACTTTATTATTTTTATAAACAGCTCAAGGTGGTGAACATAAGTAATACTCCTTCCGTTCTATTTTCCCCACAACAACAATCCTGTGAGGTCAGTTGGGCCAAGAGAGAGAATGAATGGCTCAGAGTCACACAGCTGGTTTTCATGGCTAAGGCAGGATGAGAACTCATGGTCTTCTGATTTCTAATCTTGTGCCTTAACCACTAGACCAAACTGGCTATTTCTAGTTGTATTATATTTCCAAATTTCATCTGCCCAGATATATCTCCATTTATATGTTGCTGCTCCCTAATTGAGAAGGAAAATTTTTTTCTTGTCTTATGCAAAAAGAGATGTTTCTTCTGTTAACCAGAGCTGAACACTGGCGATGACTTTCTACGGGTTATCTCCAAAATCAGAAAACGGATAGCATCTATTCAGATGAATTTTATTAAAGGCGTTAGCTTTAGTAATCATCATCATCATTAAGTCATTAGGCGCACAGAATGGCTAAAATGATGTAGGATTTAAATTGGGGCATGAACAGTGAGTTATAGCTCATGGAACGCTTATGCCTTTTAATAAAGTTTGCTAGTCAGAAAAGATGCTGCCAGATTTCCTCTGAATTTTTATTGCTGTAAACCACGGGTGTCAATCTTGCCGCATCACGTGATGTGTTGCGATGTATCACAACTTTTTGGCATTGCTGGGGTGGGTGCGCGGCCTCCATATGATGCAACCAGCCTGCGGGCCGGCAGTTTGACATCCCCGCTGTAGACTAACACAGCTCTCCTCCCAGAGTGAGTTATTTCAATATCTTTGGCTGAAATAAACTGTCTTTTGTTTCTGAACACTGGTGGTATTTTTCTCAGATTTTTATGACAAAATTGTTGCTTGTTCTGAGGACACACTGTCAGCTAGAAGGATCCAAATTCACTTGCTTGATGAAGTCAGAACTGAGTTTAAAATGTAAGAAAAGAAATAATGCTAATATTTAGAAACTGTGCCTTCATAGTGTTGAAAGCTGAGGGGTACAAAAAGCAAAACTAAATTAAAAATAAAGCACCAGAGGAATTTCAATATATTAACTTGAGGGCAAGAGGATCTGGTGATCCCTTCCCTAAGCCCTTTGGCTCTGACTCTCCTGGACCACCCGTGCCTCATTGGATCATAATTTCAGATATAGTTCCTTACCTAAACAGAAATAGAATAACCACAGGTGGATAAAAAAAGTGGGGCTGGGAAATGCTTCTAACTTCCTGCTGGCTTTCCCATTGAGTTTCTTTGTGGCAAGGAAATCTCTTTATCATTCTGTCGTTATCGTCTTTCTTTCCCTCCCTCCCTAGAATTCCTGTTGGCTTCCCCAGTTGTTTGTGAGAAGCTTGCCAGGAAATAAGTCACTGGGGAAGCCAGCAGAAAGTTGAAAGTCCAAGGCCAGCAGGCAGGTAAGTGACTGCTACTGGATGACTGAGGCAGTGAGGAATGTGCAGAGATGCAGGTCAGAAATGATATGTGGCAGTGCACAATAAGTGCTGGGTGGGTCAGGAAAGGTGCATGTGGGTGCTTGAGAATGCCCCATGGAATGGATAGGGGACAGCTTGGATCCAGAAGGATGCATGAGTCATCGTGACCCAGTGGTTACAATGCAGAATTTGCAGGCTAACTCCACCCACAGCGTGGAATTCAGTTCTGATTTGGTTCAAGGTTGATTCAGCCTTCCACCCAAATGAGGTCTCAGATTGTTGAGGGCAACATGCTAGCATTGTAAACTGCTTAGAGAGGGCTGTAAAGCACAGAGGCAGTATGTGAATGCCATTTCTGTGAGGGTCATGATGTGTGAGAGGTGCTACAGGATTGAGATGGGTTCTTTGGGAAGCATGAGGTGCCATGCAGATTAGGGGAAATGCATAGGGAATGGTGTGGGTCAGGAAGGGTGTGTTTGGGTGTGCAAGAGGTGTTGCATGAGTCAAGGAAGGCACACAGGGTATGTGTGCTGGGGTGGCATGGGCTTGGAATGGGGCTTCTTCCTATTCCTCTCTTCCCTTCTTCCTTTCTTTTCCTAGCAGGCAAGTAAACAGATGGAGGAAGGAGTGAGGGGTAGCGAGATCAGTGGGGAAACCTGCAGGAATTTGCAAAATGAATATCATGATCACAACAGCAGCTGGGCAAAGCTAAAGCAGACAAAACTCCCCCAAATTTCATTCCCTTGAGACTCAGGAATCCCAAATTTTGGATGCATTCTGTTGTTTAGGACATCTGAGTTACTTTGATTCAAAAATATTTGCCCTGTGACGCACCATTTTGCCCAGTTAAAAGTTACAGGAACAAAAGTTTTAACATGGTCGTATATAGACAATGCTATAAGGAGCTTGTGGTGTTTATGATATTCAGGACCAATGTGCTGCTTAAGTAATTATACACGAATAAGCTTGGGGATCTTTTTCAACTTATGCAACTTGGGCAGAACCCAGGTAAAAAGCTCTTGTATTTTCTATCCTACTTGAGATGGAATTGTCTATAGCCAGAAAATTCTTCAATTTCACTTCAGTATCTGGTTAGCAAGAGCCCCCTCTGGTGACAGGTTCAGTCCATGTCCACTGGAGAAGAAGTATAGGGAGATGTCTCTCACAGGTTCCTCATAACATTCACTGTAGAATAAGTAAATAGATTGGGAACGTTCAAG